GGCACATTACCGAGATGGTGGGGGGGGGATCAGTGATTCCCTGGGGGGCCAGGTATCATTACTAGGAGGAGGTGGGGGTCATCTATCATTACCTGGTAGGGAAGAGGGTCATCTGTCATTACCTGCTGGGGGAGGGGGTATCTTACATTACCTGGTGGAGGAGGGGTATCAGTCATTACCTGGTTGGGGGGAGGGTCATATGTCATTACCTGGTAGGGGTCATCTGTCATTGCCTGGTGGGGGGAGGGGGGTCATCTGTCATTGCCTGGTGGGGGGAGGGGGTTATCTGTCATTACCTGGGGAGAACATGTGTCATTACCAGGAGTGAAGTCATCTGTCTTTACAGGAGGAGGGGGTCATCTATGATTAGCTGAAGTGGTGGGCTCTTGAAGGAGGGGTCACCTGTCAAAACCACAAGGAGGCAGGAGGACATGTGTCATTACCAGGAAGGGGGGTATTATTTTTCTCTAATATCCTGCACCTCCATATCATTGCAGCCTGGCCATGATAGAGGTAACTGGATGTTGTTTAATAACGTTAAAAAAAAAAAAGTGTTATCTCTGCAGTGGCACACTCACTGATCAGCCCCCCACACAGCCCAGTACAGTACTCCCCTACCACCTCTGCTCAGCCCTGCATGTACACACAAGTTGGGGGCAGGCAGGCCGCACTGTGAGCTGCTGGGTGAAAGCAGTGGACTTGTATGTGGATCTGGAAGTCATAGAGCCTGTTGAGTTTCCTCTTTTACATACAAACCTACCGCTTTCACCCAACAGCTAAGAGTGTGCCCCCACCTTGCATGCACGTGCAAATGGCACCAGGAGAGAGAGAAGAGCGAGACAGCCATCATACGGCTATCATATCTTGGTGTGCAGTGGGAGCATCTTGGAGCCCCAAGTCAACTTTTGCATCGGGGCCCACAAGCTCCAAGCTACTCCTCTGACCTAGAAGAATTTCTCTTTGAGTCAACACTTAAAAAGTCAGATGGTCCCACAAGTCCCAGCTTTGTTTCTCTTTAGTTTTCACATTTGACTCACTAAAACTTGGACTCTCGGTCATTAACAGGCCCTCAAACTGATCCTATCTTCATGTTGCTGCTTGCCTGCATGTGTAAAGCGTGCTTGCATGTATGAACCCCATGTCCACTCATAACACACCAAGAGAGAAGTGAATGGATTGAACATACATTCACAATGGCTTGAATAAAAAAAAGTTGAAAAGCAGTAGAGCAGTGAATGTTGCATTTATAAAAACATAAACACAAAGACAAAAATAAATATAATGTAATGTAGCTGCATATGATCAAGTTTGAAATTCAAGCACTGCCCTGATGCCTCACAAACACCCATGGAAACAAGTGTTAGACAATTCGGGGCTACTTTTCTGCTTTTTCTGTGTGTTATTGTCAAAACTCACTGAGACCTAAGGTTTGTTTTAAAAATGAATCATATTTAATTCACTTTTTTGTAGATTTAGTTAAAGACAAATACCATTCACAGGTATGGCTATAATTTTAGACCAGGGTGACAAAATATTTTTCTTACAGTCTTGGTTATATGATGAACACAAATATCAGTCTTCCAGTCAGTTAAAATAACAAAAACTGACAGCATTGTATGACATTTTTCACAAACATCTAAGAAATGCTAATCTTTAATCTACCAAGTAACAGTGAATAAATGTTATTGTTGGCCTACCTGACCAGTTGGCTCAAGATGCCATAACCGGAAGTCTAAGATACTGAGCTGTAGTGCTTAAGCATCAAAAAATCTCTGTATTTTCATCAGCCTAACTGCCGGGGCTGAAAGGCTGAAGGTGATGATGATGAATTGTAACTGTGCTTAATGCCCTCACCAAAAGATTTTGTCCCTTTTCGACCCTAGTAAAAGCTCACACAGGAAAAACAGTTTAAACGAAGCTGATTTTGATGGAGCAGATTTTAAGAAGTTTACTTATCTATAAAGGTTATGTGCATTTTGCTTTTTTAGGCAACTATCCACCACCTCCTACAAAGACAAAAGAATTCTGTGCTGGGAAAGCCAGTGGCCTCTACCCTGTAGCTGGTGAAAATAATGCTTTTTGGAACTGTGCAAATGGAATAACCTATAAAGAGTACTGCTCTACTGGCCTTGTTTTTGATGTGAGCTGTGACTGCTGTAAGTAGCTGAAATTCTAGAAAACATGAAAATGTTCGAAAAGGTAATTTTTTAAATAAAATAACAAACATGTTATACTTACCTGCTCTGTGCAATGGTTTTGCACAGAACAGCCTAGAACCTCCTCTTCTGAGGTCCCCCAGGTCTTTTGGCATCTCCTCTTTGTGTACCAGCATGAGAGAAGGGGAGAGAAACACTGCGATTGGCACAGGTAAGTATAAAGGGAGTGAGGGGGGCAAAACAAACAGTAGACTTTAGAACCACTTTAATAGAGTAAGTTAGGAAGTGAGGTTAAAGAAAACAATTGTTGATATACTGTATCTCCCTATAAATCAGAAGAAAACAAGTTCAGCCTAAATGCACTTTAGTACAGTCTAGCTTCCTTGATCCAGAATATCAAAAGCCCAATGGGGCTGCTGGAGATGTATGCTTGCAATAGGGAAAAAATCCTTTATGAACCCATCACTGACAGACAAATAAATTCTCAGGATCAAACACCTTTTAGTAATGATGGATCTGTTGCCAGTGATGACATGTATTGTAAGAAAGGAAGTTATGTTATGTTTAAAATCATTTCTACAATTGTCTAACACCACCTTTGGCAAAAGGTTTGATAGCATGGTAATTTTTTAGGCCCATTCACACCTGGGCAATACAATACAGGCTGTTCACACTTTATCACTTTGTGGAACAAAACAGGATGCCCAAAGCATGGAGTTGTGTTTTGTGTTTTTGGCCCCATAGGTTACAATGGAAGCCCCTGTAAGACATAGGCAAGTTCATCTGGTTTTGCTTGTGTTTTTATGCCTGAACAACTGTTTTCCTCTGCTCTCATCTGCCTCTCCTCCCACCAAGGAGCATGTATACATGTGCAAAAACAATTGCAAAATACAAAAGAAAAAAACTCATATGCTTGCAAAAATGCTCAAAAACACAAAAAAATTTATAAGCACATACTGTACTAGGTGTGAATGCATGCTTACATAGAAGGACTAATTTTTTCAGCTGTTGATACAATGACTTCTTTCTTAAAATCATAATGGGAGTTTGTTGTTTGTCCATTTCAAGACTGAAAAACACATAAGATAAACATTAAATACCTTAACCACTTTCTGCCCAGCCTATTGTAAAATGACGGCCGGGTGGGACTTTCGTCATTCTGGGTGGACATCATAGGACATCCTCCTGGAACATGCTGCACTGAAGCATGATATGTTACCGGCTGTGTCCGCTAGACACAGCTGATGACAAATCACCATACTTGGCTTCTGCCAGTACTTTGTGATCACTATGACCAATCACAGCAGATCACATGACAATTGTAAACAATAAATGGCTTTGATTCATGCCATTCATTGTGTACAGTTGTGTTGCTAGCTTTGATTGGTCACAGTGATCACATGGTACAACAAGGGCCAATCGCAGCACATCTATACCATGTGATTAGCTGCGGCTAATCACAACGATACACACTGAATGAATCAACTTCATTCAGTAAAAATGGTTGCTTATACCAGTGAAATTCAGTGGTATAAGCAATCATATGGTATAAAAAAAATCCTGATCACTTCCCCAGTACTTTGGTAACACTGTATCTGGTCACAGTGTGTAAAAACAAATTGTAAAAAAAATGTAATAACATTTTTTTTCAAACTGTCACTAATCAGTGTTCCTGATCACTGCCACGCCAGTTATATGATGACGCTGTTCTGCACTGGTGACAGTCTGTATATTAAAAAAAAAAAATTGTGATTTTTTTTTTTAATTTCTTCATTTTCCAAAAAAATTACAACTTCAAAAACTTGCCATGCCTCTTACTAAATACCTTGGACTGTCTATTTTTCAGAAAGAGGTCATTTAGGGAGTATTTGTACTGTCCTGAAATTTTTGGGCCTCAAGAAATTAGATAGGCCGTCAGTACATCAAGATTGATTGATTTTCAGATATATGTACCAAAGTTTGTGGACTCTATAACTTTCCTACAGACAAAACAATATACACCATTTGGGTTATTTTCACCAAACAAACATAGAAGAATACATTTTTATGAAGAAGATTATTTATTTGTAACATTTTATAACAAAGAAAAGCGCAGGTACAGTGTTGCATGACCTTGCAATTGTCATATAAAGTGCGACAACGCTGAAAGCTGAAAATTGGCCTGGACAGGAAGGGGGTGGAAGTGTTGAGTATTAAAGTGTTTAAGAAACTCCTTAAAGCTCCATGCACACTGGGCGTTCTAAAAATGCCGGTAACGTTAGCTGTGTAAAATCACTTTGAAAACGTGAGTTTTTTCAGCGTTTTTGCATTAGCGTTTAGTGGAGTTTTTTTTACCAAAAAAATTATTTTTTTGCTAAAAAAAAATCCAAAAATGCTGGTTTGCTGCATTTTACTGCGTTTTGCTGTGTTTTTCAGCGTTAAAGGATTTTTACAGCTAAAAAACTTTTCTAGAAAGCCACTAATTCTGGGTTTTTTTTCCAGCCAAAAAGTACCTCAGCCAAGAAACACTGATTACAGCTATGTGTGCATGGACACATAGGATAACATGCTGGGAAGTTTACTGGCTGTAGAAAAAAACTCCAAAAGCCAAACACAGCCTCTGTAAAAACATCCAGTGTCCATTAGGACTTATACTCACCTAACTCTGTTATTTAAGATGCAGCTTTTTTTTTTTTTTAACAAAAACTGTTGATGCATATAATAAACTATTGTGTAGAAGACTTAATTCATTGTTATATAAAAACCTGCATTTTACGCTTTCAGGCAACTATCCTCCCATTCATCCAGCCAAGACTCAGAAAGAATTCTGTGCTGGAAAAGCCAGTGGTCTGTACCCTGTAGCTGGTGACAGGAATGCTTTCTGGAACTGTGCAAATGGAATTACATACAAACAATACTGCTCTACTGGCCTTGTGTTTGATGAAAGTTGTGAATGCTGTAAGTTACTTCAAAATATGGACATAATAAGAAAAATGTGCTAAAACTGGAGAAGAGTTCTTTTAAAACTGAACTCTACGTAAAAAAAAATATTAAATACCCTTAGGCCTAGCTCACACTGGCATTGAAAGCAGGTGTTTGAGGGGTGTTTTTACCGCTCATCAAACGCCTATGCAAATGATACTATGGGCAGCACACAGTGCTGTTCACATTATCATAACATGAAGCATTAGTGTCGTGTCACTTCAAAATTGAAACTTCATGTCGAATCAGGAGGAGTTTGAAGCCTTTCAAAGCCTCAGATTCAAGTCTATGGATATGCTGTTCAAATATGCTGAGAGGCGTTTGCAAGCCATTTGCGGTGCAGTTGTGGTGTGTTAATAACAATACAGTTTATTTTGTTTGTGGTGTGGTGTTTAAACACTTGTAAAACGCTTCAAAACTGCACTTGTAAAAAGCCAGTCTAACGCCCATACTAAAGCTCATTAATGCCAGTCTAACCTACATACTAAAGCTCATTAACGCCTGTCTGAAGCCCACAGTAAAGGTCATTAACGCCTCTATAATGCCCACACTAAAGCTCCTTACTGTCTGTCTAACGCCCATACTAAAGCTCATTAACACCTGTCTGACACCCATACTAAAACTCATTAACACCTGTCTGATGTCCATACTAAAACTCATTAATGCCTAATGCCCACACTAAAGCTCATTAACGCCTGTCTAACAACCACACTAAAGCTCATTAACGCCTAACGCCCACACTAAGGGCTCGTTCACACTAGGTTGTTTTGCCAACGCTTGCCAAACGCCCCTATAGCGTTTGGCAAGCGTTGGTCCGGCGTTTGCGGAGCATTATTAACGCTCTGCAAACGCTCCGCAAACGCCGCATGCGCGGTTTAGCGGCGGTTGCTAGGCGTTTGCCGAGCGTTAATAACGCCCCACAAACGCCTACAATGCAGTTTGAGTGGTGTTACCGCTCCGCAAACGCCCCCACAACCGCGTCGCAACAGCAGCGCAAACGCCGGCCGGGCGTTTGCGGAGCTGCACCATAGACGAGAATAGGAGGCTTCAAAGCCTCCTGACTCGTCCAGAGGCGTCCGTTTTGCCGCGACACAACGCGACACGACGCAAACGCTCCCGTTAGAACAGCACCATGTGCTGTAATGTGCAGAATTGGCAGAGGCGTTTGGGAAGCGGTAAAAACGCTTCCCAAACGCCTCTCTGCCGCCTGCACACAAGGCTAGTGTGAACGTAGCCTAAAGCTCACTACCGCCTGTCTAACGCCCACACTAAAGCTCATTAACACCTGTCTAACGCCCACACTAAAGCTCATTAACACCTGTCTAAGGCCCACACTAAAGCTCATTACCGCCTGTCTAATGCCCACACTAAAGCTCATTACCGCCTGTTTTTATCTCCTAAAGCCCACACTAAAGCTCATTACCGCCTGTCTAATGCCCACACTAAAGCTCATTACCGCCTGTCTTTACCTCCTAAAGCCCACACTAAAGCTCATTACCGCCTGTCTAACGCCCACACTAAAGCTCACTACCGCCTGTCTAACGCCCACACTAATGGCCACACTAAAGCTCATTACCGCCTGTCTAACGCCCACACTAAAGCTCATTAACCGCCTGTCTAACGCCCACACTAAACTCATTACCGCCTGTCTAACGCCCACATTAAAGCTCATTAACGCCTGTCTGACGCCCATAGTAAAGCTCATTAACGCCTCTCTAACGGCCACACTAAAGCTCATTAACGCCTGTCTGGCGCCCATAGTAAAGCTCATTTACGCCTGTCTTTACTGCCTGTCTAACGCCCACACTAAAGCTCATTACCGCCTGTCTAACGCCCACACTAAAGCTCATTACCGCCTGTCTAACGCTCACATTAAAGCTCATTACCGCCTGTCTAACGCCCACACTAAAGGTCATTACCGTCTGTCTAACGCCCACACTAAAGCTCATTAACGCCTGTCTAACGCCCACACTAAAGCTCATTAATGCGTGTCTAATGTTCACACTAAAGCTCATTAACACCTGTCTAACACCCACACTAAAGCTCATTACCGCCTGTCTAAAGCCCACATTAAAGCTCATTAACGCATGTCTAACGCCCATACTAAAGCTCATTAACGCCTGTCTAACGCCCATACTAAAGCTCATTACCGCCTGTCTAAGGTCTATACTAAAGCTCATTAATGCCTGTCTAACGCCTATACTGAAGCTCATTAATGCCTGTCTAATGCCTACACTAAAGTGCATTATTGCATGTCTAACACCCACACTAAAGCTCATTACTGCCTGTCTAGCGCCCATACTAAAGCTCATTAATGCCTAACGCCCACACTAAAGCTCATTAATGCCTGTCTAACTCCCACGCCCAGTCTAAAGCTCATTAACGCATGTCTAACGCCCATACTAAAGCTCATTACTACCTGTCTAATTCCCATACTAAAACTCATTAATGCCTGTCTAAGGCCTATACTAAAGCTATAGGAGTGTTTAGTAAAAGTTAGAAATTTAATCAAATGTGAACAAGCCCTTACCAACACTGCAATCATTAAATGCTCATTTTTGCCTAGAGTACAATGAAAAAGGAACTTTACTTAATGTATCTAATCTTTTGTTCCCAGAGGCACCTCCTTCCATGCCACCAGGTTCCCGGAAGGCTCCTCTGTAAAGCCCCTATGTGCAAGCAGTTATGTACATTATAAGTCTAAGAAAACCTGAATTGCACTTACATTGTCAGTTTCACAATAATTCTTCATGATACTAAACTTCTAGATAAACCAAACAACCATTGCTTACAGTTATTGGCTTGTAGGACTCAATTACACCTTATTCATAATCAACACCGTGAATAAATAGATTGTATATTTTGTTTCTCAACAGCTTTAAGTGTAAGAGGCATTTGAAATAACAGCACTTCGTTATTCTCACAGGTAATTACCCTTAAGCAAGTGACTCTGGAAGTGGTGAAGGAGATCTTGCACTTCAAACTGGCGAAAAAAAGGACTTTGAGATCAGAAAGTTGGATTAAGTTGCAGACTTGGAATAATGTATTCTACTCAACAATTTGTTTACAGTAATGACTGAGTTACCCTCACTGCAGCAGCTTTGGCCAGTTACAAAAGAAATAAATAAATCACCACTCACAGGATTGTAGTTATTCTTTCGTATATCACTATTTATATATAGACTTTTTTGTAAACCAGAAGCAGTATTAAGCCTGGGTTCACACTGATGCGATGCGAAATTCGCACAGGTTTGTATGTTAGGTTAACACCCCAAAATCAGTACACAAAACGCAGTGCGATGTGCAGAATCAGATCACATAGTTGTGAATATCCATGCGAATCAATTCTGGTGCGGACAAAAAAAAGGGTCCTGCACTATTCTGGTGTGCATGTGGTGCAATATGAGCCATACAGAATGTATGGCTCAAATTGCACTGCACAGAAATCACATTTGAGTTGCACAGGTACGCAGTGCGGTTCTTGTGCAAACTACATGCGATGTACCACACCGCATATGTGTGAACACGGGCTGAAAAGCAGAATTTTTCAGAAAGTGGAGTAAGCACCTGGAACCACCAGCAAGTGTGAAGAAATAAATACTGCAAATGTCTCTGTCTTGAAACAAATGCATCCTGGCAAAACAAGCATTATTATTATTGGTACTTATATACTGCCATCAGTTTATGCAGCACTTTACATATATATTGTATATTCACATCAGTCCCTGCCCTCAAGGAGCTTACAATCTAAGATCCCTAACTCACATTCATACATACACATACTAGGGCCAATTTAGACAGGAGTCAATTAACCTACCAGCATGTCTTTGGAGTGTGGGAGGAAACTGGAGTATTTAGAGGAAACCCACACAGGCACAGGGAAAACATGAAAACTGCATGCAGGTAGTGCCATGGTTGGGATACAAACTGACAACCTTAGCACTGCTAGGTAGAAGTGCTAACCACTTAGCCACCATGCTGCCTTAATACTTATTTGTCCTGCTCCTGTGAGTGTCAGATGCTGGCATCCCACAGTGTAGTTCACGGTTTCCTCCACTGGCCCCTATGTCATTGCAGGACATAGGGGAAGGAGGAAATAACCATTAGTCCCTCCCCTCATGCCAGGGTACTAGGTATAATCCTGGACTCCCATCTGTCCTTTTAGCCCCAAATCCAATCACTGTCCAAATCTTGTAGACTTCACTTCCGCAACATCTCCAAGGTACGCCCGTTTTTAACCACTGAAACTTCTAAGCAACTCTTTCACTCCCTTGTTATTTCTCGGCTTGACTATTGTGACTCCCTCCTCATTGGCCTACCTAATCGCAGGCTATACCCTCTTCAGTCTATCATGAATGATGCTGCCAGACTCATCCACCTTACTAACCGTTCCATGCCCAACGGATAAAATTCAAAACATTAACAATAACATATGAAGCCATTTATAACTCTGCCCCAAATTACATCACCTATATTGACTCCAAATATCAATGAAATGGGAGAACAGAATATAGATGGGAGAACAGAAACCGGATGACATTCAGCCTGTGAGTATGGTAGCCAGTCTTGACAGAAGTCGGACATTCATCCATAAAATTCAGCCCCTTATATATCACTTTAACCAGAAATTTGCAGATGTATATGTGCCCCAACAAAACATCTGTGTTGATGAGTCCCTCATTCATTTTTCTGGCCACCTTGCATTCAAACAGTTTCTCCCCAGCAAGCATGCGAGATATGGGGTCAAAATGTATAAGCTCTGAGAGAGGGCAACAGGCCACACATGTAAATTTTTGGATTTCTGAGGGAAAAGAAAGTCACGTGGAGCCGCCCGGATGCACAGACTACACGGGAAGCAGTGACAAGATAGTTTGGGACTTGATGTCACCCTATTTCCATATGGGGTACCACTTATATGTGGACAATTTTTTTACAAGCATGCCACTATTTAGACATATGTATAATCTTGGAATTGGCTCATGTACCATGCGACCTAATAGCTGAGGCTTCCCCCAACAGC